ATAGTTCGACCAGTTGAATATTTTCCCTGAAATTGATCTTAAAATTCTCCGTAGCTGTGACTCTTTCCCATCTTTCCTTTAATATCGTTGTTCTTCTCACATAGCCAAGAAACTTGAACTGAACAATGATTGTGCCCTCGTGGGTTGCAATGGTGAAGCCAACTTTTGGCGGGTCAGCCAAATTATTGCCGCGGGTCACTAAGTGACCCGTGGGTCATAGGTTGCCAACCACTGCTCTAATCCAAACTTTAAGTCATCATTTTTTAAATTTCATCATGTGCAAAGTGAGTACATTTTATGAAATGAACATTTTTTCAGCATTCTTCCGAATGTTTTTAACTGTATTCTGAACTTTGTGCTCATAAAGTCAGCTGTTAGAATAATATTCAGGTATGTTGGAACATACAAAACATTGTGTGTGGGAGTCATAAATGAATAAACTTGTTTGAAAATCAATAAAAACACTAAAATATTATTCAACAATTTCACACACTAACAAATATTATACTGTACATACAAAATATAAATTAAGTTGTTTGCTGTGTACTACAAAATCGTAAGGAATACAAATAATAAGAATGTTTTAGATAATAACTAGTATACACATGTATACAGATACAGAAAAAAAATTACTTACAGTATAAAATGTTTAAAATTTGCAAAAGTACTATAGTCTCCTTTCATTTTGGTTGGCAAAGTCAGTTGACTAAATAAAAATTTTTGTTGGCAAAATACTGGTGGGGGTGGGGCAATGATGTTTGGGCCCCACAATTTAATTGTTGGGTGCATGTGCCATCTATGGTATTTATAGTGGAGTTGTATATAATGACCTATATGGTTATAACAGAAAAAGTCATTTAAGCTATTAGTCAGAAGATAAAATAGACAACATTGGAAGGTGTAATATTCATAGCTTCAGTGAAGATTAAATGAAGTATAACTGTTTTAATGATGATATAACCAATAGAATTAATTATTATTTAATGAATATTCCAGGCCAATAACTACAATGTCCAAATTTCTTCAACTGGGATTTTAGAAGATGGAATGGATGCCATGTCACTTACTCTTTTGTCAAAGAGACAACATCATGAGGAACTGAGAGAATTTGGAGTCTTTTCTGCCAGTTCGTACTGAATTTCAATACATATTTCACTAAATAATTAGTTCAGTATTGAGATAAAATGATATATTTTCAATTCAAGCAAGATTTTTTCTTCTTTTTTCATAACCTGAAGAAAGAAAATTTAGTACCCATGTTTTATGGTTAATTTTATATATATTGATAAACTTTTCTCATTGTTTTATTTAGATGCATTCCTAATGGTATGTTTGATAATATTAGTTTTTATAAGCACAAAAGTATTCCAAATGTTTCAGTTATTAAATTGTGATGGTAGTCAAGAGTTTAGGAATTTTTTTGATAAACAAAATTTCTATGCATAAATGTTCTAGAAACTTATAAAAAGGTACATTTTGAATAAGTTACACATGTCAAAAAACCTTCATTTTTTTTCCAATTAAATTTAGTATTTTTATATTGTGCAGAACAGTTTAAGGTGAATAACTGTAGTTTGTAAAATTTACAAGTGAGACAAAGCCAAATTGTTTATTAAGTATTATGTAGATGGAAAAAATCAAAGCCAGAGTAAATTTCTAGTTATCTCATAATGGAAATCTGTTTTTTGTTTTTAACTGGTAAAATTATTATTTTTTCTTTAGTTTAAGTGAAGATGCTTTTCTCTGACCTTGTAATTTGGTTTGAGTTTTAAAAAGTTCCTGTTTTGTATGTTATTTAATCAATCAATGTGTGTTGTTCTAGAATATTTTATTTCTGTATTTATAACATATTACTTGGACACAAAATACACTAAGAAATTAAAATCACATAAGCCAACATGATTCTTAGCCTCAGTAAAAGTGATAAAAAATTTAATTTTTAGTGTGGTGAAAAACTTCATACACACACACATATATATATATATATATATATATATAT